ACTGAATCACCAGAAATAGAGCTCTGATTTTAAAAAAGACTACTTTCACTCATAAAACCATCCAGGACTGAGTGCCTTTAGACATCAGAATCGTTAAGGAACTGTAGCAGGAAAGTAGCAACAACTGTGTACGTACATCTCCCTCTTGTGGTTGAAATCAACTGCATAAACAATTTCTTCTTCTCCATCTTTAACTATTTTCCATATTGTACCTCCTATCATGTGGCCTGCTGGTAATGGAGTGATGGACAAGCCATGCCCTTTCCCTAAAGAAAAAACATTATTTTATATACACCTGAATTATGTAACAGATATAGTAATGCCAAAAAAAGAACACATCAGTGAATTTTAATTTCCTAACCATGGCTCCAATTCTTTGTACCAATACAATGTATCGAAGTATTATCCTTCCTCCTTTCTTTTTTGCTAACAAATGCAACTCATAATAATGGAACCCTACTTCTAAGGAAAAATGGAAAGAAAAACCTTTCATATAAGTATTATGAAAATAATGAACAGGCCCATGGAACAATCCGTATCTCCTGATGTTGGTAGGAAAAAAATTAGAATGGAATTCTGCAACAAAATGTTGTCCTATGGAGTACCTCTGTTCAGGATTCTAGCAACTCTTCATTCCTTATTCCCCTGCATTTTTCTCTTACCCATCAGCCTGCACCCCATGGTGTCCACTGACCACTGATTCTAAGACCTCACAGGGCCATTTGGGTTGTTATAGCCACTCCCTCCCCCATTCTGTTATTAGTTGATTTTCCTTGCATTCACACAACATTCTGATTTTGGACTCCATCCCTTAAGGCTTTTCCCCTCTGTAATTTTTTTATATCTCCAAACATTTCAGGATTTCAGCATTTTTAGATAAGTAGTGGTTTGGACTATGTAGCTATACTTGAAATCAACACCAGAAGGTCTGGACTAGAGACAGGGGAAGGATAAAGTTATTTAAAAAAAAAAAAACTAATTAGAGTGTTATGTACTTCAATTAGCTTGACATCCATGCAATTGTATAACCATTTGCTAAGTTTGGGTGTTTATTTTATTTATTTATATTTCAAATTTAGATACCCATCTCACAAAAAGTGACTCTGGGCGGTTCACAATAAAACAGCAATAAATATTAAAAT